CTAAGCTTTTCTAGGCCAGGTTTTTCATAAAGTGGCAGAGAGTTCCTTAATTTTTAATTCTTGAAACAAACCTAGTTTTGTCATAAAACTAGAGGTATGATAGCCCAACTCCTAAGGCTGTCATGGGGATTATGTAAATATATAAAGTGTTTTCAAATAGTTGCAGACACACCACTGGTTTGCTAAGCTATCGTCTCCCTGAGCTCCCATATTTCCTAGCCTTGGCCCCCTCCCCTACTTGGGGAGGGGAATCTCCTCTCTCTAATTTACTTTGTAAATAAACTACATTTTCCAATCTAAAAAAAAAAATAGAATAGTTGCAGACAGGTAACAATGGCTCAAGTGTATTGGGCTCTTACTGTTATTTCTTACTGTCACCACTTTACAGAAGAGCAAACTGAGGCCTACAGAAATTAAACCACTTGCCTAAGATTGTACAACTAGAAAGTGGTAGAACCAGAATTGGAGCTAAGAGGTCTGGGACCACAGGCTAACCCCCAATCTTTTGTAGCAGTTATCAAGAGAAGACTGTAACACAAACATCCTTGGCGTTTACAGCCTAGAATTACCCTTTGAATTTTCATGCATCTAATACTATTTACTGAACACTGTAGGACTAGTGTGTGCTCCCCTCCCCCAATTGAATGTCCACCAAAAACCTTAGAATGTCACATTCCTTATTTGGAAATAGTCTTTACAGACATAGTTAAAATGAAGTCATACTGGAAGGAATAGAGCAGGTCCTAAACCCAAAGAGTATCCCTATAGGAGACAGAAGGTCACAAGAGACACTGAGGAGGCCACGTAATAATGTAGACACTGAATTTCAGGCCACATATAGCCTGAAATTTCACAATCCAGGTGCATTTGAGGTTTTGGGGGGATATTCACTGAGGGGCTTAGGGGGAGGGGGCACACACTAGCCTACCACCCACATCACTGTCATCTGGTCATCCTCTATCTCCTTAGAATACTTTTTCCTCATAGTACCAAGTAAAAAAAAAAAAAAAAAAAATTAGCTGGGCATGGTGGCATGCACCTGTAGTCAGCTACTCGGGAGGCTGAGGCAGGATTGCCTAAGCCCAGGAAGTTGCAGGCGGAGTGAGCCATGAGAGTGCCACTGAACTCCAGCCTGGGTGACAGAGTGAGACCTCGACTCAAACACACACACCTTAGCAAGAACAGAAGCTCAGCAATAGCCCTGTACTTACTCAGTATACCAAGATTCTAAAAAACATGAAAATGGCTTCCCAAGTGGATACCTAGTCTCATCTCTCACAAGACTCCAGAGAGCAGGGGGGTCCCCCAGGTCCTCCCACCACTCCCAAATTCACATCTCTGCTAGGAGGTAGTAGCTGGTAATCTGCCTCTTCCTCACCCTGAAGCTCCCTGACCTCCTTGGCAGACCCTAAGACCCAAGGCTCAAGGTTTAGTAACTGTCACTCAGTAAGGGGGGCAATTTCCAGAGCCCAGAAGACAAAGCCACCTGTGCCAACTCGCGCTCAGAGCTTAGGCATCAGTCTCACTTCCCAATACCAAGGATGGGCAGATGTGACAGCTGGGTCACCTGGGTCCTCAGAGGTTCTTTCTGCAGTTGTCCCCTTTGAGGTTCCCTTTACTTCCCTATACTTGCAAGGCAGGTACAGCTAGCATAGCTCAGATATAGACAGGCAAGCTTCTGCAGACAGGTGCAAGTTAAATAAATGAGGAACAGGCTGGTCAGCATACAGGCAATGTCTCATTGGGATATAACTCTCCTGAACATCACCCATGGACTAGGCACATCAGACCCGACCTTGGAATCATAAAGGCCATAGGGAGTTACTGGAGACACCGAGGCACAGCATGCTAAGAGAAAACTTAAAATGGTAACATTTCCCATTATCTCAAGAACTCCTTGTGATGCAAGTAAGCTTAGGAGTTAAACGGTAAGAACTGAAACATGATCAATAGCTCATAACCCATGTAACCCACAAATCCTAACTAGGAAACAGGTCACTTAATCATCATTTTGGATACTACATAAAGCTTTTCTGCTGACAGCAAACTTGTGTCCTTTCGCTTAAGGTATTCATGTACTCTCTTGATTGGGTCTTCTTCTCTCATCAACTTTAAAACTTTATTTTGGACTCGTTCTCAAATTCTTTTCTGTGGTGAAGTCAAGAACCCACCGAGCAACTACACCCTGTGGCACCTGACATCACCAGGTCTCAGAAATGGTGGTTCCTGCCACATTGCTAGTGCTCTTGGTTCGACACCAACTAATCCTTAGTTCTTTGTTTTAATAATCATGATTATAAAAGGCTGGATGAGGCCCAAGCACCCCAAAGCCTGAGGTCCCAAAACGTAGTCACCCTTGGCAATGAGCGATGCCCATGCAGGTGACCCTTCTTTCCAATTGCCTCAACCTGGCTTAATCTCTAGTTGTTTTCGTAGGCGGAGACAGAGTATGCACATGGTGAAGGCAGAGTCTTCTGATGCATCCCTGTGCCGGGCATCCAGGTAAAGGAAACACATTTCTTGAAGGGAAACAAAACACTTGGAAATACATTTCTTGGGCTCAGGCAATCCTTCTGCCTCAGCCTCCAGAGTAGCTGGAGTTTGACTTTAATGTTACATCTATTTCCAAATAAAGTTTGTTTCTGGTATTACTCATGGGGTATTTAAAGTAACATAAAGAGCTGACACATTCTCACAGGTCATTTCTCTCTAAACACTACCACAGAGATTTAGCTGTGTTAAAAATGTTTAACCTTGACAGCCATGAAGTTCAAGCACCGTAGACTTCTTTACAGAAAGCCAATGGTTTGCTTCAAAAGTTGCTTTGGTAATTTCAGTAACAATTATACTGATTTGAGATGGTTTATTTTATATGTCACTAGGGAGATTAATTGAAATATACTAGGTGTTGATCAATCCCTGCAAGTGTTTACGCTGAAAAACCTTAAAGACTTCAATGTCCATAGTCTACAAATTTCAAACAGTGAGCTAATCAACCTTTTAATGTCATAAAGTAGGAAAGTAGTGCCACCACACTCATGGTTTTATCTACACCATCTTAATCTATGGCTACTTGGATACTTTTTCCATTTCTTCTCTAATTGGCTCAGACTGAAGCAAAAGGGACAATGTGCACTACTTCATTTCCCTCAGAACAAACCAGTGTATTTAGACGTCACTTTGCTTGGACCTTATTTGTTGCCTTGGTCCTATTTTACCCCTCATCTTGGGTAGCTCCCCAGCATCTTCCTGGACCCTCATCGGGGCACTGGGGAGCCCTGGGAACCACACCAGCACTGTGTGAACCCAAGCATGCATTGCTCTAGCCTGACTGCCTCCCACCTCCCCTCCCCCATGCCCAGCCCCCATCCCTCTCCCCTGTCTCTTCTCACAGTAATCTTTAAAAAGTCTCTTCCCTGCTGAAAACGATCCAGTGCTAGGCCTGGCACAGTGGCTCATGTTGTGATCCTTGCACTTTAGGAGGACAAAGCAAGAGGAATGCTTGAGCCCAGGAGTTCAAGACTAGCCTGGGCAACATAGCGAGACTTCATCTCTACAAAGTCAAAAAACTGGCTGGGCATGGTGGCGTGTATCTGTAGTCCCAGCTACTCAGGAGGCTGAGGCAGGAGGATCACCTGAGCCCAGGATGGTGAGGCTGCAGTGAGCCATGGTCATAACACTGCACACCAACCTGGGCAATACAGTGAGACCCTGACTCCAAAAAACCAACCAAACAAAATAAATCCAAAAAGAAACTTCCCAGTGCTGTCCAGAGCAACTAGAATAGAACTCAGATCTGTGGCTGTGGTCTATCACGCACCATGTGAGTTGGCCTGGATACACTCCCCTAGCTGTATCCCCAGGCCCAGCCAAACCGGCCCAGCCTTCCTTCTGCTCCTGCCACACCCTGGAGTGCTTCAACTACATCCCAGACTCAGGGCCTGTAGTTGTCTCCTCTCTCATGGATGTCTCCCAGAACTTCCCTCAGAGGTCACGCAGGTCACAGCCCAGTGTTCCACTCAGGACCTTTCCACCCTACACTAGCCAGGGCTCTCACTCCACTTGTGCCACCTTCTGGGTCATTTCCTCCATTCTTTTTTTTATTCTTATTATAAAGATGTGGGAGGTACAATTCAGGGTTAGGTATACAAACGTTGATTATGCAGGTACCCTTACTGATGAGGTATGCCCCTCTCTCCCCTAGCAGTTTCCCTCAACTGCCAATCCCACCCCCCCTCTCCTGACAGTTTCCCACTACTGCCAATCCCTTTCACCACGTACCACACGCAGAACCACCTTTGGTTTTGTGGGCCCTGCCTGTCCTCCTGGCTCCCTCAGCAGCAACCTGAGAGGAGGAAGCACCTGCCTCCAGCCCCTGGAGAGCCCTGCCACTGGAAGCACATCTGCTGACTGCACAAATGAAGGAATGGCTGCATGACAAGATAGATACAACAGTGGTTCACTTCATCACGCTGCAGTCTTCTGCCTTGCCTGCTACAGAACCCAACAGATGACAGAAGCGAACAAGGCCTCAGGCCTGCCTAGGCCACAGTTCTTATCTACTAGATGATGCCTTCCCACCTGACCTCTGGCCATCCCAACTCCTTGAGACTCAACTCCAGTCAGAGCAGGTCTTAACCAGCATCCAGCCTGTCAGGGCAGAGCTTCTGAGCACCAAACAGTTGTTCCACTGTCAGGAAAGAGAACAAATCTGAAGTCTCAATGTAAAGCCCATGACTTGCCCTTCAATGCTACACAGCAGCTAATACCTGATTAAAGACTATGACACTAAAAAATTGTGAGTTAAATTCAGCAACATTTTAAGATCCTCTGTTGTATTTCTGTTTAAAACACACATCTACTTTTTAGACTGTTTAATATCCATCAGTGACTGTGCTCCAAGGTCAAGTATTAGAACTGTGTACATGAATACTAACGCCAAACCTATAATTACAGGCTCCTGCATATTTCAGATAATAATAAATATTCTAGATTACAAATTTGGTATAAAAATTTTAATGAAAACATTAATCATATAAAAATTAAATGGCAAAACTATTTATAAAATGAATTACAATTCAAACATATTTGACTTCTTTCTCTATCGGGTTATTTTCATAAGAACTGATTATTTTCAGCTGCAATCTATTTAGGATTGTGGAACAGTGAGAATAAAGTACATAAAGCCCATGAGCGCAGTGCTCAGCACATAGAGTTCATAAATATTAATTTTCTTTTTATTATTATTTTTAAAAGACACATACAAGGTTTATAAAACATGCCAACTTCAGGGAAAAGCTTATTACATAAGAAACGGCAACAGGTGAGGACTCTGGTCTGGCCTTTGTGGAAAACAACCATCTTTTCTAAGGAACACACCACATGAAATTTATTTCAACGACTGATCAAAATTCCTCACCAATAAGCCAGCTTCTGAAATCTAAGTATACAGCTTCTTGTTATAATTTAAGAAGTCTTCTAGAGGATCACTTTTTTTAAAAAAGTACAAAGTTCCATGATCAAGAAAAGAACCCCTCAATAAGGAATCAACACACAGAGAAATGTTCCTCAACTGCACGGATGGCTCAGTTTCGTCCGAATTATTATAAAGAGTGTGTTGGCTTGAAATATCAAATTAAAAAACGAAGCTAATACAAGGAAGCCCAATGAACAAGCATATTACTCTGCCACTAGCAAAGCGTTGTGAAACACCTCACCATTTCAGTTATGCTTTTACTTAAGCAGTGTCATACGGCCCTTTTTAGTCTACGAGTTGAGATAGGCTCAACATTCTGTCCTTCTAGAAGAGAACACAGAGATGAATGTGACTATAGTCCATGTTCTACAAGATACATTTTCTAGCATTCCAAATTTAACAACTTGTCTAAGTCCAGTCTGAGGTATACGAAAAGATCGAGGCTCTTTATTCCATGTCACGGGCAACGTACCACGCCAACACCATGACTGCAGCCCCGCACGTTGCAAGGAGGTAGTATTTGTATTTCTGCCACAGCGACAGCTCAACAGTCACTTCATCTCTCTTCCTGTTCTTCTTCCGACGACCCCTCAGTCTGTTTTCAAAAGCCTCTAGTTCAGCCTAAATCAAAACAGAATCATTTTTATTAAATTCAATGCATACATTGATTTGAAGCTTTCCACTTGAATAAAAATCAATTTGGAAATGTCTTAATAGTAACTGCATATAACAAATATATTAATTTTTTAAAAATCTCTCTCCATTACATTATTTGTATTCAATAAATTCACTGTTTAGGTAAACATAAAGGAAACTGGGCCATAATGTCAGAAATTGCCAAGCTGTAGGTCTGACTATGGATACTAAGCATTAATGTCTGATGAGATCAGGGTGCCCTAAAATACAGACACTAGTCTTATATTTCAGCACCATCATGCTTCAACACATTATAGAACTGACATTCTCTACATCCTTCTAGCAAGTGCTGAGATGCCTGGTGAAATAAAGATGCCTATAATTCGAGCTTTTCACAATGCAGTAATAAACATCTGTGGCTTGTAAGGAAGAAATTCAAGTAAGTAAAGAGAAAAAAAACGACAAGAACTTGATTCTCCTTTGTCAGATTCATTTAAAAACACACTAAAAATTCTTCAAGGAAAAAATGCTTCATGCTTTAGGTCAGAATGACTATTTTATAAAGAAAAACTAAAAACTGGTTCTAAAAAATGGTTACTGAATTACATCCATTATCAACTGTAGATTTTTAATCTACTGCTAAAAACTTACTTTTAAACTTTTACACATGACAATGTGATATGATACCCTACAGTGCATAGTTAACTAAAACATGACAGTTATTAACTAAAGTACATATGAGGGAAACTCCTCCAAAAAACAGAATTTATAAAAAACTGTATTTATTCTTACATGTTTAAACTTCAGTCACCTTCAAAATACTCTCCATTTGATGTAACGCACCTACTGAGATGCTTTTTCCACTGCTCAAAACAGTTTTTGAGTTCATCAATTTTGATGCCTCTTAGAGCGTCTGCCGTTTTTTGTTTCACATCTTCCACATTGACAAAACATTTCCCTTCAAGGACTTTTTTCATCCAGGGAAACCAAAAAAAGTTGCTCATGGCAAGATGGGGTGAATAGGGAAGGTGGGGCACAGGGGTCATGCCGTTTTTGGTCAAAAACTGCTGAACGCTCAGAGCAGTGTGGGCAGGTGCGCTGTCATGCAGTTGTTTGCTACAACTTGGGATGTTTCTTCTGCAAATCATGAAGCAACCTTCTCAAACCTTCCAGATAAAAACTTTGGTTGACAATTTGATCTGGAGGAACAAATTCCGAGCATACCTCAAGAGACCTGCCCTCCAAAAGATAATTCCATTATGGGGGGGGGTTCCCCCTGTAAAATTCATGCAAAACTCTTTAAATGTTTACTTAATAGAAATAAATGTAAACTTCGGTTAACATATTCATTACTTTGGTCATAAATCACAGTTAGAAAAGACCTAAAAATATGCTCATTTTAACACAAAGTGCGATTCTTCAATGAGCCAAAATGTCAGAATAGACCCAAACGGTTGGTTGTTGACATGTAGAAAAAAGTAAAAATATCTTAAGAAACAGTCAAACTTGAGGACCACAGACAAAAAAAAATAGCCATGATTAAACAATGACTCCTAGTCATCATTTAATATTATTATATTAAATATATATTAATATTAACTATACAGATAGATATTCCATATACAGTTGTCCCTTGGTACCTGTGGAAAATTGATTCCAGGATCTCCCAATACCAAAATCCAAGGAGGTGCAAGAACCTCAGTTAAAACGGCCTAGGATTCACATATAATGTATACACCTGCTCCCACACACTTTAAACCATCTCTACATGGCTTATCATACCCAATACAAGATAAATGCCATGTAAGTAGATGTTACACTGTATTTTCTTTTTTGTTTTTTGTTTTGTTTTGTTTTTGTTTTGTTTTTTTGAGTTGGAGTCTCACTCTGTCGCCCAGACTGGAGTGCAGTGGCCGCTTCCAGCCACCGCAGCCTCGACCTGTTGGGCTCCGGCGATCCTTCCTCCTCAGCCTTCCGAGTAGCCGGAACTACAGGCGCACGCTACCATGCCTGGCTGATTTTTTTATTTATTGTAGAGATGAGGTCTCACTGCCCAGGCGGGTCTCGAACCCGTGGGCTCAGGCAATCCACTCACCTCAGCCTCCCAAAGGCACGGGATTACAGGCTGAGCCACCGAGCCCAGTTTGATTTTCTTTTATTATTTATTATTTTTTCCAAATATTTTCAGCCCACAGTTGGTTAAATCAGTAGATACAGATACCACAGATACTTTGAGCTGACTGTATTCTGTTTAAAGAGTCAATAAGCAAAGACTGTATTTAAGATTTTCATCCACAGTGGTTTATAAAAAGGTGGGAGGAGAACAGGAAGGAAACACTAAACTATTCCTAATAACTTAATCTCCCAGGATTCCAGCCAATCTATGTTTTACTATACTCGCTCTGATAACTTATTTTGGGGATAGGTGGTAAATCAACTTTATGGAACCATAAAATATTAAAGGTCATCTTGGCTAGCCTTTATTTGCGACATGAATTGCTGCTAATGTTCTTGCACAAGTTATAAAAGTTTCAGTTGCCTCATTCATGCAAGTCAAGCAAGTTTCACTTTCCTCATCCATAAATGCAGGAGGTTTAGCATACAATACAGCCTGCTTGGTAAGTATAAAGCTTATCAAGATGCAGACTGACACATAATCACACATCACTATTAGAAAGTTAGGCCGCTATTTGAAGTTCATGCTCAAGGCAGTAAATACTTTGAGTAAACAGGGTATCAGGAATGTGCTTATTACTTAGTAACAACAAAGAATGGATAATAATCCTGCATTTAAGTGTCTAATAGGGAAATAAAGGAACATGTTATTAAAGTCAACGTATTGGTTAGTAAACCCTTATTTGTGACTGATGACCTGAGAACTCAAGTACTTTCTGATGAGTTAAGACATGGGCCCAGGAGATACTTGCAAAAATGAGGATGCCCTCTCTCACTTGCCACAAAGGAGGACTGAATGGTTGGATAATGGATGAAACTGGGCAAGAAAGTAAATGGGGAATATATAAGATCCCATGCCTTTTCAGAGTTTCAGCATTCCCGGGGTGAAGTAAATAGACAGCTCACTTTTGTTTTGTAGAAACTATGTTAATTTCCAGTTTAAAAGAGTTCACCTGTCCCTAGTTTGCAATTGGAAAACACCTTATGTTTGCATAAAATCTGACAATGATGCCAAGAGACATACACCTGGGTGTTTGGTTTGGTTACCTGTTGTCTTCGCTTCTCCTCTTCAAGAGCAGCTTTGGCTTCTGCTTCTTTTATCTGCTTGTGCACATTTAAAAGTAAATTAATAACTTAATCCTCAAGTTGTATACAGAATGTTAACATCTTCCCATCCAGGTTCCACTAACCTACAGCAACTTTTAGGAGCTTTACATTGCAAATCATTTTTTAAAATGTGAAGGTTGTACTGAGAAGTTTTACCAAGGCACTATCTAATAGACTGGGAGTGATGGTGGATGGAATGTTATACTTTATGTGAAACATTTCAGTTAACAAGTATAATAGATGTTAGATCACAATTCAAAAAGTTAAAACACTGTAAACTGACAATTTTAACATTGGATTTTTCCTCTTGAGTTACCATATTAAGAATCTAGAATCAATTATTAGATATCACTGTTTCCCTAGGGTTAAATTTACCTTAAATGCCCTGTCTAGAAGGGAATCCTTAGTTTCAAAAAAAAAATCAAGGGGCTATTCACTGGGTTGATGAAGGAAAAGTAACACTGGAGATAACCCAGACAGCAAAGAATCCCAAAATCTTCTTTTTGTATTATTTTACCCTAATTTTAAAACAAACTGTATCCCAGAGCAAATCCACTGCCACAGAGGATGAGAAGGCCAGGTACACAAGGGATTCAAAATGTGCCTAGAAAACCAGGCTGCTCCCACAAAGGCAAAAAGATGAGATTTCAAGCTGTTTTTAATAAGCACATAAGTAAGTGCACAAAGCAAGCAGGGAAAGGCCCTCAGTGCATTGAAAACCGTCTGCAACGAGATGTTACCTCTGATGCTTTCCGCTTCATTTCCCTGCACGTTGCATCACACTCCACCGAAACCTGGTTTTCACGTACTTTGTTGCACGGCAATTCCTACAAATAATTCAAATTTCAAATTTTAAGTGATCTTCCCCTCCAAGTCCTGACTGTATGCCATGAAAAAGCAAAAGGTTTCTAATAACTTTCGGTTACAAGTATTATTTAACAGTCACGTTCGTTGATACTTAACGACAATGGCTGCTTGCATTAATTATCTGGTTCAAATACTGATTATTCCTTTATTTTCTCTTAATCAAAAAAGTAAATACATAAACTTAGAACAATTCACTTAATAACTGGTTAGGGCCACTATCAGACTCAGTTCTAATTTTATTTTATTCTTTACTGTTTCTCCCAGGGACTAAAATGCTCTAGAGCAGTGGCCTCCAACAGAGCCTCCAGGGCTGTGTGGGGGATGGAGCCTCTCAACCTGCACCTGCAGGGCAGCACCAGCCATGTGCAGCCGGGAGCCCAGGAGGTGCGCCCAGGGAAACCCAGGGCCAGATTCTTAAATATGATTTCATGCGAATTCATTGAGATTCACATTTCAATAGTCCCACGTGGCTAGTGGCTACCATCTCAACCCAGCTCTGGAGAGTTTTCTGGAGAACTACACATTTTTCTCTCAACTATTAAACCTTTCCAGTTTTTAAGTTTGGATGAAAATCATTCTAAAGCTTATGTTTGTAACTCACCACCTCCTTAATGAACTAACAGAATAGTAATCTCTTTTCTTGATGTCTTGACATCAATACTATGACCAATTTCTGCACTATGCTATAATAAAATGATGACCTACTGAGTTGAACAGAAAAGTGGTCCTTACATTAAATAGTCTCAGGCTTTGCTTTTGTTCATTCCCATTTCTTGCTGCCAGTGTCACCTTTGCTCTAAGTATACCTATTTGTATAAGATACTCCTTTCTCACCATCACCACACCCTCAAACATTAAGTTTTTTTAGTTCAACTCTACCAATTTAGAAATTAGATCACCAAATTCTATGAGTGAAGTGCATAAACTTTAAAGCTTTTTACTTTATGGCAGGGAATTTTAGTACTTAGAATTTTTTTTTTTTTTTTTTTTTTTACTCTTTAGTTCTTCATTTTTGGCTCAAGTTGGTGATAAACATAGTCTTGTCCTCTAAAGATAGTTCAGACATAAAAATTAACATGAGCAAACATTGGAGATTAAAATAAGTATTGTGTGTTTATAGACATTAAGTCTATAAGTTTAGAAGGACTGTAGCTTCACTCATTCAAAATATAATTATTGAGTCTACTACATGCCAAGCCCTAAGACAGGGAGAAAAACACAATAAGAAAAAGAGTATAATAGATTGGTAAGTGCTAGCCTAATAACAATAGTAATGACAGCTACTATTCATTAAAAATAGCGGTCATTGTGCTACATGCTATGTAAGTATTACTTCTGTTATTCCTTCTTATAATTCTATATATAAACTAAATCTACATATAGACTCTATCTGACAGATGAGGAAACAAGGTTATAGACATCCCTAGAATCACAAAAGATCTAAGTGATGAACCTATCGCAAAGAAAGTCAAGAAAAAAGGGCATCTCGGTCCTTCCCAAGGGAGGCTGGGAAAGAAAGATCTTCCCAAACAAGGAAGAGCTTACAATGAGTATTAGCAGGATTCTAGTAAGCAGAGAAGCAAAGGAAAATAACAGTACACTCTACATGGAGGAGGAAATTTATACATTGCCACAGACTAAGGAGGAGTACAGTATATAAGTTAGAGCACCTAAGTAACAAATTCAGAGATGACAGCTCCAGGGGTCCCCACCTCCCCCCCCCCGGCCTACCACCACCCCAGGCTGTGGACCACCAGTACAGGTCCATGGCCTGTTAGGAACCAGGCCACACAGCAAGAGGTGAGTAGAGGGCGAGTGAGTAAAGCTTCATCTGTATTTAGTCACTCCCCATCACTTGCATTACTGCCTGAACTCCGCTTCTTGCTACATCAGCAGTGGCATTAGATTCTCACAGGAGCAAGAACCGTATATTGTGAACTGCACATGTGAGGGACCCAGGTTGTATGCTTCTTATGAAAATCTAAGGCTTGATGAACCTCCACTCCCACCTTTGTCCATAGAAAAACTGTCCTCCACGAAACCGGTACCTGATTCAAAATGGTCAGGGACCACTGGCTGAAATGATGATCTATCATTTAGACAAGCAGGCAAAGGTCTCATCACAGACTCCCTTGTATGTCAAGCCTATATATATTTATACATACTCATTTCTTATAAAATGCATTTTTTCCCATAAATGATAAAAAAGTCACTTAATAATTTAGATCAAGGCCAGGCTCGGTGGCTCAGCCTATAATCCCAGCACTTAGGGAGGCTGAGGAGAGTGGACTGTTGGAGCCTGCCGGTTCAAGATCAGTCCGGGCAACTTGGCGAGACCTAGTCTCTACAATAAATAAAAAATTAGCCAGGCGTGGTAGTGAGTGCCTGTAGTTCTGGCTACTTGGAAGACTGAGACAGAAGGATCGCTGGAGCCCAGCAGGTCGACGCTGGGGTGGCCATGAATGTGCCACTGCACTCTAGCCTGGGCAACAGAGTGAGACTCCAACTCAAGGAAGAAAAAAAAAAAAAAGAATTTAGATCAGGGAAGTAGCATGACTAAGGCAAGGAAATCAGATATGAAGGTGTTGCCAAGGCCCAGGAGAGAGTTGCCCAAATTCTAGTAGGTGGCAAACTGCACTTGGACAGAGAAAACTTAAGAGACATCTCTAATTAAAACTGGCTTAACTAAAGAAAGAGATGACCTTGGATTGTCCAGGTGGGCCAGTGTAAACCTAAGGGTTCTCAAAAGTGGAAGAGGGAGTAGAAAGCGAGTCAGAGCTGGGAGAGAGCTGAGGTATTGTGCTGCAGAAGCCAGGAGTGGAGGATTGTGGGCCCCTCTAGAAGCTAGAAATCAAGGGAACAGACGATTCTTGAGTCTCCAGAAGGCACCGCTCTGCCTAAGCCTTGTTTGGGCTCAGTGAGACCCATTTTGAACTTCAGACCACGAGATCTAAAAGTCAGTGTGTGTGTGTGTGTGTGTGTGTGTGTGTGTGTGTGTGTGTGTGTGTGTGTGTGTGTGTGTGACGCTTGGCTAAGTACTGACTTTTATGTAAAGGTTGTCAATTGAAATATCTAGAACTTACAGATTCTACTTTCTAAGAAGTCAGGCCTATACATTTAAATTCAGAAGTTACCTACCCCAGAAAAATAAACTGGGAACTGTAAAAAAAAAAAAAGTAAAGGACCTATAAAAGATCCTCAACAATTATGTGTTGCATGGGGGATGTAACATGCAAATAAAAGAGTACATTTAAAGAGAAGAAGAAAGAGACTAGCTTTAAGGAATGAACATAGGAATATGAAGGAAAAAAGGACAGTAACTAAATGAGAGAGGGTAAGTCAGGTCAAGAAAGTTAGTTTCAAAGGAGTCAACACTGCCAGGGGAAGGTCAAGAAAAATGAGAGCTGGAAAAAAAGAAAAGCCTACTAGGCCACCACCTTCCCTTCCTCCTAAGTGGTACAGAACAGTTATCAGTTTGCTTCTATCGGTCCTTCCAATCATTAGTTTTTGCCCATGCTCCTCTGCTACCATTATTTTATCTTAAAATTCATTCTTTCCAAGTCTGAGTGTTATTTTATACAGCTATGTATACAAGTTCTTTTTAAGGCAACATTTTCAAAGCACAATATTGGATAGCAAAAAATTTCATAAATAACAGCAACAAAGGTTAATTCCAGGTCATGTCCTAAACCATGAAACTCTCTTTACCAGTCACATTATGTTCATTGTTCAAAGACCTCCAACTGGGTTCAAGGCCCACCCGGGCAGCTTGGCAAGAACTCTACAATAAATTTAAAAAAAACTAGCTGGGCATAGTAGCGTGCGCCTGTAGTTCTGGCTACTTGGAAGACTGAGGCGGAAGGATTGCTGGAGCCCAGCAGGTTGAGGCTATGGTGGCTGGAAGCATGCCACTGCACTCCAGTCTGGACGACAGAGTGAGACCCCAACTCAAAAAAAAAAAAAAAGAAAGACCTCCAATCTAGAGCACACGGACCAAAAAAAAAAAGGGCATTGAGCTTGGTTTCAGCACAAAACAATCTTTCTTTCTTCTACTATTAAATTGCAAAAATTAAATTGCCAAAGCTGATTGTTAAAATAAGCATTTATAGAAATAGGTAGGCTCCTTCCAATAATAAAGTTCTATGAAATAAAACCCTAAAATTAGAAGGCCAAAAAAAAAAAAGCCAAAGAACTACCAAAATACAGGCCAAAACAAATTTACATAGAAAAGTATTTTCAATGACTTAAAATATTTACCTTTTTAATTCTTTTACAAGGACATCTAAGTTTAACCTTCTGGTTGCAATTAAAGGGACAATCACCAGGATGACACATCTCTTTGCATCTATGACCGCAAGGAAGCTAAAATAAACCAAAACAAAGCAATTACACATTTACATTTTGGTCATACTCTACTTCCCCACCACCACCAACTATTTTAAGTGCGTCTATCAGACATAGGGTAAATCAATCCTGGCTAATAGGCTAATTTGTCAACTATTTTCCTTTTGGATATAGATTAGTTTAATTATTCAGAAGCTTTCAATATGCTCTCTAACTCCACTCCAAGGGGACATCTCACAGCTGCCCTTAGTTACAGCCACATGACTACACTCTGGCCAAGGGAATGCCAGTAAGTGTAAGTGATTTGTGCCTCATATCATTTCAAGAGTGGACTTCCCTGTTCTTCTCTTCCTCATGTATGGAAATGACGAAAGTTGGGAAATAACGGAAACCACTGTCAGAGAGCAGAGCTGCTGCTAACTTGGATTTGGGATAAGCAGCAGAGCACAGTGACACACCAGCCTTCCCTGTCTTGTTATGTGAGAAAGAAGAAAACTTCCTCGTCCTCAAGCTACTGTGTTGTTTTACAACTGTTTAGTGTTTTACTCTAAAACATCTGTCCTTGTCCTTGTCCAGGTTAAAGCACATTATGTAGCCAAAACCACTAGCTAATTGCCACGATGTCTATATGCTCTTGATCTTTAATTATCTGTGACATTCCCATCCCAGTCAAGCTTCCAGATGAAACATGCTCTCCTTCTGTCCATTCACATCTTGTCCACACTTTGAAACGTGGCTTAAATCACCATAAAAGCCTGAATTAAATTTGTCTATATCTAAAGAGTAGTTATGTAAGAAATCTACTTCCAAATTGTAGTGACACTGCTTATACGGTCTTGAATTGTTACCAAAGAAACCCTCATCAACACCTCATCAACAAGGGTACCTGTATAATGAACATTTATTTGTATACCTAACCTGAATTGTACCCCACATCTTTAAAATAAAGGAAAAGAGAAAAAAAAAGAAACCCGAACACTGCTTCACAAGCTCAGTATTCATTCATTCTCAAATACTTGCCTCACAATGGTTGTTTTAAACTTCTGAACTCCTTAACTTCGCTCTCACCTCCATTCCTGCCAGTGCCACTAGTTCAACTTCATAAAGACAAATATTTAGTGCTAGTTTCCCACCTGCACTCTTCCCCTCAAAATACTCCCCTGTATCCTCTTGTTCCTTTCTTAATCTCTCAGGGAATTACACCAGTCATCTGCTCTTAAAAAGGAACCAATCTATTTCAACTTTATTATTTTTTATCGATATCTGATATTTGTGCATACTTATGCAGTACACGTGATATTTTGTTATATGCACAGAATACGTAATGACCAAGTCAGGACATTCAGGGTATTCATTACCTCGAGCATTTATCATTTCTGTGTGCTAGGAATATTTCAGATCCTCTCCTCTAGCTATTTTGAAATATATAATACGTTGTTATCAACTATAGTCACCCCACTGTGCTACTGAACACTCAAACTTACTCCACCTGACTGAATGCTTGTACCTATTAACCAACCTCTCCTCATCCCCCCATTCCCACCCCCTTCCCAGCCTCTGGTATCTATCAATTAACCAAGGTTTTTAAGGGGGAAAGTAAACAGGAATGCACATCACAATCAATAAATGCAGACCTACCGGAAAATACACAGAATCATGGCTACAGTGTAGCCTTTCACTGCTCAGTGTTCTAACTCTCTAGTGGGGTTGGGGGTTAATGAAAGGTTGAAAACCGCTGGTCTCCATGTTATATCCTTCTGCCTCTTTAGACCACACACTCATCTTCAGTTTCACTGCCATCCTGAAAGCTTCTCTTCTGTCTGGACCGCCTGACTTCTAAGTCTCTCTTTTCTCTAAACCCTTCATCTGATCCTGCCGCCGCCTCTAGCTTCTACTCCACGAAGCCCCCTGCCTCTCACATCCAGTGCTGGGGAAGGCTGGGGAAGACAGGACTGGGATTGCGCCTGGCTCACCATCATTCCCTCAGGAGCCACAGTCACATCTCTGCTACTGTCCTAGTACCCTGACTGTGGTCACCTGTGCTGAGAGGAGTCCCTTGGACCCAAGGAAAGCCAGTAAAATGTCTCTCCTGGGAATCTGAAACCCTGAAAGTCGTCTCACTACAGAACCCCAGGAATGTACAGATGCTGACTTCCCAAGGCTCGCCTGCACAGCACCCACTTCAGAACCTGCAAATTGCGCTCCTGTGTCCTCCAGACACATCTTTCCCAGCCAAAAGTTAGGCAAACTGATGCTGCAGCTTGCAACTAGGAGGATGGAACTCATCCAGAATACACCGTGCTGGCAGCCAACACAAGACCCAATACAGAAGCAAGGCATCTAATCCCGAAAAGGCATTCAAAGCCATGAGTCATTGGAGAAATGGAATTTAAAATTATGAGATGAACAAGACTGGTAAATAAAAAATGCTGACAATACTAAGTGTTGGCAAGAATGTGAAACAAAAGGAACTTTCAACAGAGACAAGAATATGGAAAGTTGGAAAACTTTCTGATACTGCTCTGTAACTGGAACATTTACTAATTACAAAATGGTTCAACCCTTTGAAAATCAACTGGATGTATTTATTTATTTATTTATTTATTTATTTATTTATTTATTTATTTAATGAATTGGAGTCTCACTCTGTCGCCCAGACTGGAGTGCAGTGGCTGCTCCCGGCCACCGCAGCCTCAACCTGCTGGGCTCCGGCAATCCTTCCACCTCAGCCTTCCAAGTAGCTGGAATTAACAGGCATGCGCTACCACGCCCAGCTGATTTTCTGATTTATTGTAGAGATGAGGTCTCGCCACCCAGGTGGGTCTTGAACCCGCAGGCTCAGGCAATCCACTCACCTCAGCCTCCCAAAGGCACGGGATTACAGGCTGAACCACCAAGCCTGGCTGGACGTCTTTATTAAAGTTGAAATTATACATTCCCTGTGACCAATTATATTCTGACATGCTACAGAAATCTGCACATGTGTACCAGGATGCACAAGCAAGACTGCACACAGCAGAACACTGATAATAACTCAAAGTGGAAGCAACGCAAAGGTCTACCTACAGTAAAACAGATAAACTATGACACCTGTGTGAAGGAATAAAGGTACCAATGCCACATGCCATAAACATGGCAAATATGTATAAGCAAGTCAAAAAAGTACATCCTTTTGAACTTGTAATATAAAATTAGGCAAACAATATTGTTTGCAGATACACATAAGGGTAGTAAAACTGGAAATAAAAGCAAGGAAATGCTTACTAGAACAGGTAGAAAGTGGCAACACACAGAACAGAGGGAGGACACTGCAGTCGGGGACCTTGGTGATTTCTGCTACGTCAGCACTACTTTGTTTTTCGACTTGGGTGGAGTTATGTGTCATTCACTTTGTAACTGTCTGTTAAGTTATACATATTGTGGTTATGTACTTTTCAGTATACTTGTGATATTTTCGTTGTTTAAAAAATATCAAATCACATGACCGTATCCGTGTTATCTCAATAGCTAAGTTATATTCTGAAAAAACTGAAAAGCAGTTACAAAAAAAGCTGATTAGAAGGCATAAAGTATGATGACCGTATCCTCATTACAGATTTCACAGCAAAAAATAGAGATTTGTCTAAAGCATCCAATGCCAGTATTCCTTTACAGATGAGACATGCTCCCCACTCCACTCAGAGTGGGATAGTTTCTTCCCCAACCAGCCCTCAGCATAGTCCACCAGCACTTCAGTAAGTCATATCAAATGGTCTGCCAACAACCAACACTGTCTAGACCAACATGTTCCACTTGAATTCCAGTAATAGGAAAACCGCCCTTTCAAAAGAACCAAGAAAAGCGTGCACAACAGTATTGGTAGATAACTCCCTGACCACCACCTTAGCCTGCACATACACAGCGCTAATCTCATCCTAAGGCCTTCACATATCATCGTCTCATTTAACACTCTGAGGTGGGCATTATTATTGCCCCATTTTATAAATGAACAATTTGAGTTACAAAAAAGTTAAATAATTTACCCAAATAAGAAGTAGAAAAGATTTCATGAAAATGATAAAACCAAATTTAGAAATAATTCTGAAACGCAGACCTACTGCATGATCTCACATGCAGAAGATTAAACAGCTGAACCTATAAAAATAGCAGAATGCAGTTACCATGGGCCGGAGGACTGAGGGGGTCAGAGGTTTTGGTCAAGAATTCAAAATTAAGTCACAGAAAAGGAATAAATTCAAGAGACTTACCGTACAACAAGATGACTAAAGTTAATAACAATGTGTTACACATGCTTGAAATTCGCTAAGAATAGATTTTGGTGTTCTCACCACAAAAATACTGCGGATGTGAGGTAATGCACATGTTAATTAACTCAATGTAGTCATTCCACAACATACACATATTTCCAAACATGTTGTACATGATAAATATATACAATGTTTTCTGTCAATTAAAAAAAAATTTAAACAAAGTAACAATTCCACGTGGATCTTTTTGTATCTTTTTTTTAGTAGAAATGCATATATATAGTTTAAAGGTGCAGTTCTTAATGGCATTTTCATATTTTCATTGAATGAAATTAAAACCTAACCCCACCCAGAAGACAGAGTGTGCATCCCCAGAGAAGCAGCAGGGCTGGAGGGAGAGGCCTTTGCCATTCCCATGAGTCACACTTTTATTCATACTCGATACACATTTACCAACAGCTTGATGTACATAACCAAGGACCCAGGCTCTGTATACAAAGACAGGTATGACCAGTCCTTGCCCACAGAACCCCTGCAGCATGGGGAGAGGAGGGAAAACACACAGGAAGTTATCAGCACTTGGAAATATATCAGAACACCCTACCTTCACTTGGAAGGACAACAAATCTACCCCCACAGTCCATGCTACATATGTCTTTGCTGATCCTGTTACACCCTGATTCTGTAGCTCAGTGGTTTTCAAAGTGTGTTCCCAACCAAGAGTATCACCATTACTTAAGAGCTTATTAGAAATGCAAGCCGGGCTCGGTGGCTCAGCCTGTAATCCCACGCCTTTGGGAGGCTGAGGTGAGTGGATTGCCTGAGCCCGCGGGTTTGAGACCTGCCTGGGCAGCGAGACCTCATCTCTACAATAAATCAAAAAATCAGCCAGGCGTGGTAGCGCATACCTGTAATTCCGGCTACTTGGAAGGCTGAGGCGGAAGGATCGCCAGAGCCCAGCAGGTTGAGGCTGCGGTGGCCAGGAGCGGCCACTGCACTCCAGTCTGGGCGACAGAGTGAGACTCCAACTCAAAAAAAAAAAAAAAGAAATGCAAACCTCGGACTCCACTTCAGACCCACAAACTCTAGAGTGGGGCCCACCACCTGTGCTTTCACAAACCTGGGAAGTGATTCTGAAGCACACTCAAGACTGAGGACCAATACTTAGTGCCACCAATATCAAGATGCCACAGCCAAAATGAGTTCTGCTAGACACAGTGAAATTCACCTGTCCACTCTAGGCTGTTCCAAGCTGTAACAAACATTAGGATTGCTCCCAGCCTAGATGTCTTTCAAGAAATTCCAAAGAGATCCTAGCAATACCAGGGTTCCAGAATAACCTCTTAGAACCCAGCATTATGAAAACGAATAACAAATTAAAGAAACAGAATTCGCTCATCTAGTTGCACCAACTGTTATAATAGCATCACAGCTTAGTTATAGCTAAGGCAACACTAAACTCAAATCAGCAATCCCTGCATTTAATTACCATATTTCTACTACCTATAAAACCACACCAAACACTAAGATTAAAACATTCTCAACTACTTGTTACCTGGCATCTGAATTAGGATAGAAAAAAACTTATTTTAACAAGGGAAAATTCAGGATTTAAAGAATTCAGAAAATTAAATTTGAAATATCCCATGCCCCTAGTTCCACTTATATAACAAAGACAGGATTACTAAAATAATACCTACTGCTTCAAATGATCCCTCTCTTTTTATAATCTTACATACATATTAAAACTCTCAAGTTCAATTTCTAACAGCTCTTAAAATAAATAGAAATCCATAAAAAATGGTCCAAAGTTTTAGTTAAAAGAAAATATTAACAAAAAGGCATATAATGCATCAATTCTTATTTTACACTTAATCAGACCGGCTACTATTATATATTTAAAACTTAGTTGTCATCTCTTCCTGACTTTAAATAGGGTGAGAAATATTTAGATAAATGCATAAAGTCAAAGAATTTAAAGGAATGAGGTACTATTTAGTACAACTGTAACTCAAAAGGACTCCTTCACAAGTGTCGACTTAAATCAAGTAACGTCACTGTCCCATTCCCCACAACAAAAAAGGAGCACCCTCCCTTTCAGATTGGCCAAATACAGATGAATTGCTTTGGTTTTTCAAATTATTACCAGTGAGTGTTTACCTTCTTTCTCTGAACAAATATTTTACAAGTCACTTTTGATACTTTTATAGTTTGAATATAATGTTTATACAAGCATCAGAATCTTTACAAAACACAACTCTGTAGCTGAATGCTTTACATAAATTAATATAGGAATAACTTGAAAGATTCCATGATCTGAACGGCACCAGCATTAGAGGCCACAGTGAAAGTGTACAGAGGTACCTTCCATGCTATCACCTTCACGACGCCGTGGAGTGGATGTCTGTCCTCACACAGTACCCCACCCAAGGGTGAACCACATGCATGCACACACACTCATGCTAGTGTTTTTAAATAAACGACTGTAGATTTACCATCTCACTGCCTGTGATCCACACAGCTATTGATTTATTTGTATTTTAAGTCTGAGTCACATTTTGGGAGGCAAGCACTAGGTCAATACTTTATTGTATCAAGTATATAAGCTGCCTTTAAAACTGCTTTTTTAAAAAAATATATATGTATTCATAGGGTTTCTCCTTGTCCTGGTTCCCTAAATTCATAACATAAGGTACATCTCCCCTAACCATATATGTGACATTTTTATAGACATCAATCACATTTCCTTTCTGGATAGTGGTCCAGAAAAGACCTAAAGTAAAATGACTAAACAAGAAAAAAGACAACCCATGAGAAACAATGCCCAAGGAATACAATTTAAAGGTTCTGTTGAAGCTTACCTCTTTAGGGCACTGATTTTTGCAACAACCGAGGAGGTTCTTTTCATTTACATCAGCTGTGGTTATTTTTCTAAAAATAAGAGAAAGGTCTGATGACATTCAAACCAAAGTCCATTTTATAGCATAATTTTTCTAAAAATAATTTACAATTTCAAACATATCCATAAAATTATGTATTTAAAATTACTTATTTATTTTTCTCTGACAACTACCTTCAAATTACTTAATTGTTCTGATAACTCAAACCCACAGCCCTTTGTACCAAGTCAAACACCAAAGTGTAATTGCGCTAAGAAGAAAGCACAAAACACAAAACATCATCTGAGCCTGGCGTCTTTTAATAATTACTGCCAGAGATCTTTCCCTGAAGATCAATCACTTTAATTCATAATTACAATTCTTCTTAACATCCCCATGAAAAACATTTAAAAGACAGTCGTTCAATATGCCCAAACTGAAAATTTTAGACTATTCAATAAGAAATTCAATAAGCTTTTTTTTTTAAAGTTTGGGTGTTTTGGGGTAAGCTATCTATAAATATTAGAAATTAATTCAGCCGGGCTCGGTGGCTCAGCCTGTAATCCCGCGCCTTTGGGAGGCTGAGGTGAGTGAATTGCCTGAGCCTGCGGGTTCGAGACCCGCCTGGGCAGCGAGACCTCATCTCTACAATAAATCAAAAATCAGCCGGGCATGGTGGTGCATGTCTGTAATTCCGGCTACTCGGAAGGCTGAGGCGGAAGGATCCCCGGAGCCCAGCAGGGGAGGCTGCGGTGGCCGGCAGCGGCCACTGCACTCCAGTCTGGGCTACCGAGTGAGACTCCAACTCAAAAAAAAAAAAATAATAAGAAATTAATTCACTTTAGATCTAGTTATTTTAGCCCAGTCTATGCTTTGAAATGCTTTTATATCTGACTCAGTGGGTGATTCAGAAAAAAACCCCACAAACACCAAGGAATAAACTTTCTTCCTAACAGATAGTTGAACAGAACCCAAGAAACCCTGCCTCCAGTCAGCATCTTGTGACAGCCTGAAACTCCCTAGGGGCAGCCTACTTTTCTCTTCCCCATTATCTTCTCTCTCCTCTCCGTTACTCTCTTCCTATTCCCTTTCACCAGACAAGACTGTCAAAATATGCCTTAAGGTCAGCCTCACTAATGTTAATTAAAATTATTATCTGAGGTCAGGTAAGGTGGCTCATGCCTATAATCCCAGTACATTGGGAGGCTGAGGTGGGAGGTCCGCCTGAGGCCAGGAGTTCAAGATCAGCCTGGGCAACATAGCAAGACTCTGTCTCTTCTGTCTCTATAAGAAAAACCAAAAAACCAAAAACCTATTATCTTAAATATTCTTTTTTTTTTTTTTTTTGAGTTGGAGTCTCATTCCATCACCCAGGCTGGAGTGTAGTGGCATGCTCACGGCCACCCCAGTCAGCACTGACCTGCTGGGCTCTAGCGATCCTTCCGCCTCAGCCTTCCAAGTAGTCGGAGCTACAGGCGCATGCTACCATGCCCAGTTAATTTTTTAAAATTTATTGTAGAGACAAGGTCTTGTCAAGTTGCCCGGGCTGGTCTCAAACCCACAGGTACAGGTAATCCACTTGCCTTGGCCTCCCAAAGTGCTGGGATTACAGGTTGAGCCACCGAGCCCAACTAAATATTCATATTAAGTTAGCTATAGATGTACTCTAGCATGTCCATTTTCTTGGCAAAATTTACTTCAAACCACAAAGTTTTCAAGCTAAAATTACTCCACATTTTTTATTCTGACAAGGAGAATTTCCCCTCTAAACTAAAGAATTAATGTTTTAATTCCTGCTACTCTATAGTTAGGAATAAATTAGCTTTTCAAGGCCTGTATTTTTTACATCCAATGTATACAGAAGACATTTACACAAAGCAGAAAAAGATTGTGATATTACATGTATTAGATATGCACATATATTCAATTTTTAATATATATATTACACTATATATTCATCCATAGCTCCTGGTTTATAACTCCCACAGCCTTTGATAATTCTCCCCAAGTCAGGCCACAGAAACTAAGACGCTCATCTTCCCTTGCCTTTCTGTCCTGGAGCAGGTCATAAAAAAAACTCTCTGCCTGATCTTGTCTGCAGGTCATAAGACTGCCTTTCAAAGGGGCCCTGCCCCATAACCCAGGGGAAGGAAGGTTGCACAGAAAGGCCAAAAGAACCTAAACAGATGGGTCTTGCAGAGTTTAGTCTGTTAGTATTAGATCACACACACTCATCTATTAACATTAGATCATATCCTCTTTGTCCAGTCATAATTCTACATGATTGTCTATGCTTCAATCATGCCCAAGAAGACAGGGTACAGAGAGTCCGGACAGTTGAGCACATGGAAATTCCTAGAGGGTGGTGGGGACAGGGATGGAGTCAACAGGCTCCTTTCTCTATACCTCATCATATGTATCTCTTCATCAATTTCCTTCATAATATCCTTTATAATAAACAAGTAAATGTGAGTTTTCCTGAGTTCTGTGAACTGCTTTAGCCAATTAACCAAACCCAAAGGAAAACAGGAATTTTCATTGGAAAAAACAGAGAAAGTTATCCAAAATTCATACATGCATACACACACACACACCCGCACGCACGCGCGCGCACACACACACACACACACACACACACACACACACCAGGCCCAGACGGTTTATAGGAGAAGTTTATGAAAGCCTCACTAACCAGTATTTCCAATGATACTACGTAAAATATTCTAGACCTCAGAAAATCAAGGAAATAGCCAGGTTTATTTTATAAAACAAATAAGGTGCCAAATGGTAATTTTCTAGGTCCTCACTGTCTTTGACTTTTATTCATTGGACTTTTATTATAGGTAGAACTCCCCTGTCCCATTTATTAATAATAGCTGTATGACCAATGGATTCTTATTTTATTCACCTAGCCACTGTCATCCTGATGTTTAAATCACTAAACATCAAAGGCCCACGGGAGTGTCTTTAAACTGGCTCCCAAGTCGTTTTGATATGTTACCATCTTTCTTTGGTGTTTTCTTTCTTTCTGGCTAATTCAAATGTCTCGGGATTATCATGTGCTTACCTACTCTCACCCAGGACTTCACCATTTCTCCAAGAGCCTTTTCAGTGGAAAGTGATACTGAAACCACTGGGTGTGCTCAATGCTCCTGTGTGTCATCACTTCTAGACTCTGTTTTGAAATCTTTTTTTAATTTTAATTTTAAAGATGTGGGGTACAATTCAGGAATAGGTATACAAATGGTCCCTGTACAGGTAAAGTTTGGGTCTCACTTTGGTCCCCATTTCAGCTGGTTTGAGATCAGGAACCCCTATTGATTAAGTGTCCCCACCCTGGGAGTTTCCCACTACTGTCAATCCCTTTCTTATAGCATTATGATTAACTGTGCAGGGTCCACTTATGAGTGAGAATGTGGTATTTTCTTTGTTCTTTGTTTCTGTGACAGAACACTGAGCATTACAGACTCTAAGTTCATCCAAGTTGCTGTGAAGTTCATGATTTTGTCCTTCCTTATGGCTGCGTAATGATACCTAAAAGACCTAAAAATCGTCCTTCCATACAACCCAACAATCCCTATTCTGGGAATATACCCTGAGGAACTCAAATCACTCTATGAAAAAGATACCTGCACACACATTATTGCAGCATTATTCACAATAGCAAAAACATGGACCCAATTGTGCTGCCCATCAAAAGTGGACAGGATAAAATGTTTTGACACATTAAGAACCATTTTTTAATTTCTTTTTGTAAACTGGCAGTTCACATCCTTGCCCTTTTTCCCCTCTTGGAGTTCGCCTCCTTTTCCCCTCCTTTCTCCAGCAATTAATTCTGCAGGTTCCACTTTTAATTCTAGCTCTCTTGCTATTTCCACCACATCGGAAGATACCTCCTCCAATGAAGTCTTCAAACCCTCCGGTCATCCATGAGGTTTGGAATCAATTTCTTCCAAACTCCTCAGATTCATCAGAGAAATCACTACCTAAATCTGCCAGCTGAAATAGTAAGACTTGAAAGTTGACATTAATCCTTGATCCATGGGTGTTGTGTTGGCAGGCATAAAAACAGTATTAATATCCATGTACATATCCATCAGATTTCTTGGGTGATCAGGAACATTGTCAAATAAGCATTATTATTTTGAAAAAAACTTTCTGAGCAGTAGTCTCAACAATGGGCTTAAAATACCCAATAAACTATGCTGTAAACAGACGTGCTGTCATCAAGGCTTTGTTGTACCATTTATGGAGTACAGGCAGAGGAGATTTAACATAATTTTTAAAGGTCCTAAGACTTTCAGAATGGTAAATGACCACTGGTTTCAAATTAAAGTCACCAGTTGCACAAACTCCTATAACGAGTGTCAGCCTGTTCTTTGAAGCCAGGCACTGACTTCTCTATCTACAAAAGTCACCAGCATCTTCTTTCAACAGAAGGCTGCTTCTTCTAAGTTAAAAATCTGTTGTTTAATGTAGCCACCAATTTCCTTAGCTAGATCTTCTGGAGAACTTGCTGCAGCTTCTCTATCAGCACTTGCTGCTCCACCTTGCACTTTTATGTTATTGAGACAGCTCCTTCCCTTAAACCTCAAGAACCAACCTCTGCTAGTTTCAACCCTTTCTTCTGCAGTAGCCTTGCCCCTCTCAGACTTGACAGAAGTAAAGAGAGTCGGGGCCTTACTCTGAGTTAGACTCTGACTTAAGGAATGTTGTGGCTGCTTTCACCTTCTATCCAGACACTACATTATCTTCATATCAGCAATGAGGCTGTTTCTCTTTCTTTCCATTTCTGTTTGCTGGAGTAGCATTTCTAATTTCCTTCATATTCACAACTTGCCTAACTGGCACAAATGGCCTATCTGGGCTTTTAACAAGCCTCTCTAAGCTTTTGATTTAAAGTGAGAGATAGGCAACTCTTTTTTCTTTTCTCTTTTTTTTTTTGAATTGGAGTCTCACTCTGTCACCCAGGCTGGAGTGCAGTGACATACTCACGGCCACTCCAGCATCGACCCGTTGGGCTCCAGTGATCCTTCAGCCTCAGTCTTCCAAGTAGCTGGAACTACAGGCATGCACCACCACACCCGGCTAATTTTTTAACTTATTGTAGAGACGAGGTCTTGCCAAGTTGCCTGGGCTGGTCTCAAACTCGTGAACTCGGGCAATCCGTTCACCTCAGCCTTCCAAAGTGCTGGGATTACAGGCTGAGTCACCGAGCCTGGCCAACTCTTACCTGAACACTTAGCGGCCACTGGAGAGTTATTAACTGGCCTAATTTCAATACTGTGTGTCTCAGGGAATAGGGAGGCCCAAGGAGAGGGAACGAGATGGGGAAACTGCCGGTTAGAGCAGTTAGAACACACACAATGTTTATCAGTTAAGCTCACTATCTTAGAGGAGCTTAATGTTCTGCAAGAACCTTATAGGAAACTTATAAGAACCTGGGGTACAGTTTGCAGCACCCCAAAACAATTACCATAGTAACATCAAAGATCATTGATCATACATTACCATAACAGATATAATGAAAATGAGAAAGTTTAAAATACTGTGAGAATTACCACTATGTGACACAGAGGCACAAAGTGAAAAATGGTGCCAATAGACTAGCTCGATGTGGGGTTGTCACAAATCTTCAATTTGTAAAAAACACAGTATCTGCAAGGTGCAATAAAACAAGGTATGCTCGTATGTATAAGTCAAATTTTGATCAAATAAAATTCTAGTGTGACACAGTCATTGGAATAGTCAGTCACAGCAGTGTTTCTCTTATTTTTTTTTAAAGCAGTGATACAATTTTTTCCCAACACTATCTTATACAGAATTTCCAAATGGGAAAAAAGCATAATTCCCCTGCTTGAAAAGGTTAAGTATTTAAAAGATGGAGTATCTACATCTCAACCTTCCAGGTCTCTATTGGAAAGTCCAGGCCCCAAGAATCCAAGCAACACAATGGAAAAACATTCCTTCAAGTCTACTATAAAAGGTTCTGAACTATGAAAAGATACCAATTCAAATAATTTTAGCAAAATCAAATTATTTCTTCAGTCTACTTACCTACACTCTACATACAAGCTTGTGATCTTGCAGTGACATTTTATTCTAAGCATCTGAACACAAGGTGGACATTCTCCAGGGTGACATGGTAAGACACATGGATGAGGACAGCCCAATGGCTGTGACTTAGAGCACCCTTCTTCACAATGAAGACATTCTGGGCCAGCCTGAAAAACAGCAAGAGAATAAAACACCTAAGTCCACATTTCTATACATTAAATTTCTATATATTAAAGTTATAGAATTTAGCTCCAGGCACAGTAGCTCATGCTTGTAATCCCAACACTTTGGGAGGTAGAGGTGAAATGACTGCCTGAGCCCAAGTCTGAGACCAGCCTGGGCAATTTGGTGAGACCTTGTCTCTACAATCAATAAATAATTAGCTGGGTGTAGTGGCGCATGCCTTATAGTTCCAGCTACTTGGAAGGCTGAAGAGGAAGGACTGCCTGAGCTCAGCAGGCCGAGGCTGCAGTGGCTGTGAGCGTGCCACTGTGCTCCAGACTGGGCAACAGTGAAACTCTGACTCAAAATAAAAATAAAGTTATAGAATGATACTTCATTAAAATAAAGTACTTCTGCAGCTCTTAGAAATATACTTAATAAAATGGTATATGTTTTCATTTATTTTAAAAATACTCAATATGAATAGCAAGATTGTCAAAAGGACTATTATTCATATAAATGTCAATGCCCATGAACCCCATTAAGTCAAACCGCCTCACTTTTAAAATGAATGACTACATAAAGTATCACTATTAAAAATGTAAATTCTTCCTAAAATATAGTCAGGTCAGGAAAAAACATGAAGTAAAACGTTCATTCAATTCATTTTTAACCAGTAAGCACAACTATCCTTGAAGTAAAGAAATGAACACACTCTTAATACAGAAATTCCAAAGCACTCAATGTTCTGAAGATATATCTCAATATCTCTTCTTGCTAAAGAGAAACACATACAAAGTGAAAATACGGAGAAGGACCAGCAGTTGATTTTTTTTTTTCAGAAAGCAGGATTTCTTGAGAGGACAGAAAAGCTCCCACAGTGGGAAGGGACCCAAGGGAGTTGCCTAATAGTTGGTTTTTTAAAGGCACATCAATGAATTAAAGTTAAATTACATTTACAAATAAATGAACCTCAGTGTGACTTAACAAGACACCTCTCTTTACACTAGTGATTTAATAATGTAACTAGTATCCAAATCTACTATAGAAGGTTAAAAATTTCATTGCAAGACATTGTTTTCACATATCACACTTGAGATAAATTAAGTCTTAAAGGTTAGACATGTTCACTATCAATCCTAGGTACAGCCATGATTACAAAGTTATTATTAATGAAATTCGAAGCTATTTTTGACATTTATGAATAAAAAGTGTTGTGAATTATGAAAATATTCTTTTGTAAATAGTTTTTTTAACTTTTAAAAAGTATATTCATTTATTCCACAAATACTTATTCAGCACTTATATGACAGGCATTGCTCTGCCCACTGAGAACACAGAGAAGGGTCCTTGGAACATCCATCCGAATCAGGAGATGAAGAAGTATACGTGTCTTCATAAGGACCCTAATGAGAGGAAAAGCTGGATGGAGGGGTGGTGGAAGCAGCAGGAAGGATGCTTGCTGGGTCAATTCCACATCTGAGAGAGTCACAAGAGGGAGAGTCCAGAAAAAGGAATAGTAAGTGAAAAGCCCTGAGGAAGAGCACATGAGGAACATTCCAGAAGCAGCAAGTGCAGAACCAAAAGTAAATGAGCAAGAGTATGAGGTGTCAGGTATCATCAGGCCTTTGGGTTTTAACCTGAGATTGACTGAAAGCCACCAAAGGGTGCAGAACAGGGAGATTACGCCTGCCTCACATTTTTAAAGATGATCTGGTTGATACAAAAGTGAGAGTGGAAAGGTTGGCTAGGAAAACACTGCAGAAATCAGGGTTAAGAGCAGATGGTGGCTTAGATAAGGACATTAGTGGTACAGGTCATGAGAAATGGTCAGAGTTCAGAACTGTTCTGAAGACACACCTAACAGAATTTGCTGTGAGAAAAGGACAATGAAACTAAGAGAGAGATCAAGTGTGATTCCTATGTCTTTGACCTGTGCAACTGGGTAAAAATGGTGATAATGTCTTTCTGAAATGGAAAAGACAGGAAGAGGGTTAGGACACAAATCACAACATACGCAAACAGAGCCAGAGTCAACATGCAGAGTCTATTTCACTTGCTCTTCCTGGCAATGTGGGACACCTAACAACAATCTCCTGCTTAAATAACATGAGTAGAAGAGCATGTTGGGCTAGGAGTTAAAAAAGATCAGAGATACTGTTTTCCAACTGCTACTCTCCTGCTGCCTAGTTATGAACAAAAAACCTGATAACATTAAACTTCAGTTTCCAGAAGCTAAACAAGAAATGTACTTATATGAGCTCCTTCTAGCTATGGAAAAAAAAAAAACTACTGCCTCTACTCTTGCTAAGCTATTTTCCTGGATCTCTTCCAATATCAAGTCCTATCTTCTAGAAAAGACTATCCTAATTAGGAATTACAGCAAGTCTGTCTATCAAACACCTTATGCAGTTCTCAATTAAAAATAGAAGCCTTAACCCAGGAAGCAACATTGGGATAATCCACAATAAATCCCTAATGGTCATATTAGCTTCAGAAGTAAGTTTTTTCTGACTCATTTGATATTCTGAAAATCCAGAAGAGGAAGGCCACACATAGCAGTTACACCCTAACTAGCTAAAGTGACTTTGAATCATTATTTGTTAGTTTGAGTTTATAATTCCAATATATTTTTCATTTTATGAGTACATTTTGTAGGATAAGGCATAGATCAATGAAGAAATTATAAGCAATATATTTACATATATATTTGCATATGAACAAGAATGATATGGGCATTTATACTGTCATGAACTACAATTACCAAATCAAATATGTATTAAAAAAAACCTAACAATGCAAGTGAAATTTTCCATAACACAATTCATATTAATAATTTCAATAGCTGTAAATGTTATATTATTTAATAATAAAGCGAAGCTTAAATATTCTGGCTTATTTCTCAATAAGACACTTGCTAATATTATTATGACTCCCTACAGAATGGAAGACTAGGAAAAAAATTAGTTATTTTAAATACAAAGCTTAATATTATTTAAAATTTGATTAACTACAATTGTTTTCCTTGTAAAGTGGCAATTTTTAGAGATCTCTGAATAGTTGATTTCTCATATGCAAATACAATGCTTTTAGTTAATAATGTACACATATATACACCACTCATCAATGAAGTTATACACTTTTCAACAAAAGATTGGGAACTTATTGAAATTATGAATATTGTCTATCATATGTGTCAAGTTTGGGAGGCTGAGGTGAGTGGATTGCCTGAGCCCACGGGTTCAAGACCCGCCTGGGTGACTTGGCGAGACATCATCTCTACAATAAATCAAAAAATCAGCCGGGTGTGGTAGCACATGCCTGTAGTTCCAGCTACTTGGAAGGCTGAGGCGGAAGGACCGCCGGAGCCCAGCAGGTCGCGGCTGCGGTAGCCGGGAGCAGCCACTGCACTCCAGTCTGGGCGACAGAGTGAGACCCCAACTCAAAATAAATAAATAAATAAAAAATAACTGAGAGCCAATCTTTAGACTAATCAGAGATATGAACAGAGATAAGTAGAGGAGATGGTGATATTGCAACTTGCTATTTAAAAAGATCCATAAGTACTATATTTTTATCATGAGACCATATCTGTATTTTATCTGTATTTTATCATGAGACCCTGTATTAACACAGGGACAGTATGTAAAGAGTTCACATTAAAAGGCACAATGCTACAGCTAGTGCAAAGTCACAGAGCAACATACACTAAGCTGTGAAAGTCAGCTGTCTAGCTGCTCAGAGAAGGAGGGCGAGGGGAAGGACTAAGGAAACACAGACACACGCTGGGTACCAGGACCGCTACCAGGGAAGAGAGGGTTGGCTAGAAGGCCAAACCTCACCTGCACACAATTTACTTATGTAGTATATCCTCACATGTATCCCATAAATCTAAAATTTAAAAAGAATTAAGTAAAAAAAAAGCTTAAAAATTCAGTTGTCTTAGGAAAGGCAAGGAAGGAGAAAGGGCAAAAATGAGGAAAGACACTAAAGCAAAAAGGAAAAATATTTATGGTATAATTGTTGAAAACAAATTTCAAGCATACCATAGGCATATACGTGCATTCACCCTAAGAACATTACCTTGCTTTTGCCAGTGCAGCCATCAACTTCAGTTACTTTGTGGCATTCTTTCATACATGTGTGATTCTGACACTCTAAGGTCCGTCCACAAACTCTCTTACAAGAGTATGGTCCTACAGCATGGCATGGGAGTGGACTCACCTTAAATAAAAAAGGAAATTAGCAACACACACCACCACCACCACCACCACCACCACCACCACCACCACCACCACCACCACCACCACCTTCTGGACACATGTGCCAAAATGACTCCGCTATCATTTGAGAACAAGTTTCCCAGAGGTCTCTTAAGTTTTCATCAATAATATTATCCAAACAAAAGTAACGTATGAAGATATTCCCAAAAAATGAGCACCAAGAAGCAAAACATTCTGTTCCTAAAAGGAAAACTTAATATAATGATTCTGTAGTCAATGCATATACACAGGCTGACTTTCAAATAAAAGCAATGTATATTTTCAAAGTTAGTAGATGAACTCTTATGTTCTTTATAAAACTACTTTGACTTTGTTATTTTTTACAACTCTGGTATAGAAAATTTACTTAAAATATTGTACCTATAACTCACCTCATGCTTCCCAAGACACTCCCTGCAAGGAAAAAATAAAATAAAATGAAAACATTATAAATTCTTCCAAAAGGACATCTAAAGCAATGAAGCTAGCTCTACTAGTTTTAATAAGAGTAAAGAATAAACACATATGGAAATAGTAAGTGATGACAGTAAGGTTATAGGACACAAAGTTAATACAGAAACCCCAATTGATATCCTATTTATTAGCAATGAACAAATTGGAATTTGAAATAAAAAACACAACACTATATTAGCACACACACACACACACACAAACCTAGGTATAAATTTAACAAAATATATACAAGATCTATGAGAAAAACACAAAACGCTGGTGAAGAAAATCAAAGATCTAAAAAAATGGAAGTTCATGTTCGTGGATAGAAAGGCTCAAAATTGTTAAGATGTAGCTTCCTCCCAGTTTGACACAGATTCAACACAATTCCAATCAAATTCCCAGCAACTTATGTTGTAGATATCAACAAACTGATTCTAAAGTCTATGTGGAAAAATAACAGATCCAGAAGAGTTGCCTCAACACTGAAGAAGAACAAAGTCATTACTTGACTTACTATAAAGTTGCAGAGATCAAGACAGTATGTATTGGTGAAGGAATCGATAAATAAATCAATGGAACAGAATAGAGAGCCCAGAAATACACTGACAAAAATTACTCAGCTATAAGTGAATTTGACAAAAAAGCAAAGAAAATGGAATGGAAAAGGGATATTCTGTTCAACAAATGGTCGGTGTTGGAACAAATGGACATTCACCTGCAAAAACAATCTAGACAGACCTTACGCCTTTCACAATAATTAACTCAGAATGGATCACAGACCTAAATGTAAAATGTAAAACTATAAAACACAGGAGAGGATCTAGGAAGCCTTGAATTTAGTTTGACTTTTTAGATACAATACTAAAAGTTTGATCCAAGAAAGAAAAATGGATAAGATGGACTTCATTAAACTAAAAACTGTTGCTCTGCAAAGATCACTTTAGAAAATGAAAAGGCACAAACTAGGAGAAAATATTTAGAAAACAAACACCTGATAAAAGACTTGTAGTCAAAATACACGGAGAATTAAAACTCAAAACAAAGAAGGCAAACAATGCAGTTTTAAAAATGGACAAAAAAGCCAGGCTCGGTGGCTCGGCCTATAATCCCATGCTTTGGGAGGCTGAGGTGAGTGGATTGCTTGAGCCCGCGGGTTCGAGACCCGCCTGGGCAACTTGGCAAGACCATATCTGTACAATAAATCAAAAAATTAGCCAGGCATGGTAGTGTGTGCCTGTAGCTCTAGCTATTTGGAAGGTTGAGGTGGAAGGATTGCCGGAGCCCAGCAGGTCGAGGCTGTGGTGGCCAGGAGCGTGCCACTGCACTCCAGTCTGGGCAACAGAACAAGACTCCATCTCAAAAGAAAAAAAATGGACAAAAAAGGAACAGAAAGTTAAACACTGCATGTTCTTACTCATGCAGAAGCTAAAAAAAGTTGATCACATAGAAATAAAAAGCAGAACACAGTCTGTAAGAGGCTGGAGAGGGAAGAGGCAACGGGTGGTAGAGACGCGTTAAAGGACACAAAACCAGAGCTGACTGGAAGAACAAGTTCTGGAGTCTTACAGCACTGGAGGATGACTAGAGTTAACAATGATATATACATTCAACTCGCCAGAAAAGAGACACATTCTGGCATGTGTCCAGAAGGTGGGGGTGTGTGTGTGTGTGTGTGTGTGTGTGTGTGTGTGTGTGTGTGTGTGTGTGTTGCTAATTTCCTTTTATATTTGAGTCCACTTCCATGCCCAACACAAAAAAGTGATGCTTAAGATGATGGACATACTGATTACCCTGACCTGATCACTACATACTGTATGTATTGAAACATCACTATGTACCCATAAATATGTACAATTATATGTCAATTAAAAATAATTTTCTAGCCAGATTCGGTGGCTCAGCCTATAATCCCGTGCCTTTGGGAGGCTGAGGTGAGTGGATTGCCTGAGCCC